AATTTTTGTTTGGGAGGGGGGGGGGCCCTACACGAATCAGGCCACAACACACAACACTACACTTGTATGCACGTGCCAAAGCCGGATAATGATGGGGTCCCTGTGCTTGGACCCCAAAAACATGACCCGATGTTGGCGCAGTGCCCCTGCACCATCCCTGTACAGCCTTTGTCGTAAGCGAATATTCACAGGACGATAACCCTAAACCCTAAACCTTTGTCGTATGCGAATATTCACAGGACGATAACCCCTTGCCCCAGCCTCCACGGCTATGAATGGTTCTTCCCATTGGTTTTCCTTATGAATGCCCCTGCATACATACACTACCAGCACGGATTGCCAAGAACGTATGCTTTCCATGTCAAGTCCACGTTGATTTTCCTTTGCATTCTCCGTCCTAAACCTCAAACCATGTGGCTCACGCCGAGGCTGTTTTAACATGGCATTTCGCCTGGAAACGGGATATTCCGCGGCACCGCGACTGGGGTATCCGCTTTACCAGCTACACCCACGTCGTCCCAGGGCTTTCGAGGATGGGTTCGGGCTTTAGCGTTTGGGGTTTGGGGTATAGCATTCAGAGGTTCGGTGGTTGCATACCAAGTTGTCCTGCACCCTCTCATGACAACTATCTGTGCGCCTGCAGTAGGGTTGCATCCAAGAAGGCAAACAGGACGCTTGTTAAGAGTATGGTTCCCTAATACTAAACGCCCTTCACCCCCTCATCTTCAATATGTAGGCGTTTGCAATAGGACTGCCTGAACACGTGAATACTGCTAAGGGTTGGCTCCTAGCAACGGAGTTGAAACAACGTGAGGGTGTTTGCTTAGATCTTTGTACGAAGGGCCTCGCAAATGGTGCCCCCTGATTGTTCAAGCCTTTCGATGCGATCTGAATCCCCCGCGGTTCTATAGTCCCCCTTAAGTAGGTACAATATGGGGCTCTTATTATACTATACACGAAGCCATATTCTATTTACTTAAGGCAGAGTATAGGTCTTTTCCCCAAATTCATCTCCCCAAGCTGTCTCCGCACCAGAACCCCCCCTGCAACATTACTTTCAGAAAGGAACCCATATCTTTCAACGGGGTTTAGGGTTTAGGGTTTAGGGGGAAATTATGCGTTCCCTACCCAGTACTACCTACTGATCCCCTTCCCCCCAATCGGGCGTCTTTGGAGTTAGTGAAGGAGAGTATAGGCGGGTAGTTGGGAGAAGTCATTACAACCATACCTTCGCAACATCCCTGCTGCCTTCCAGGATAGTTGCGGTTCCTGTTTGGTACGCCGCCGGTGCTCCAGAATATGAGCTTCCAGCTTTATTCAGACTTCGACAGCCAAGTATGCAAATGTTTTGCCCTAAACCCTAAACCCTAAATAATATTTCGGGAGAAGGCTCCTGTACACCATAGGGAGAAGACCATCTTCTTTGCTTTAAGATTGACAGTGACTCGTGGTACGTGGGCTCCGCAGCTCGCTTGGTACGAAGGATGTATATAGATATAATAAAGGATGTATATAAGTATTGTATGGGGGGAGTATTTGAGGGCTTATTGAGGGGATACAAGGAGTTTAGACTATAGCTCATATGACCTATAGTCTAAACTCTTAGTATCCCCCTTAATACCCGTTTAATTCTCCCATATACAATCCTCCATGTAACCCTGCTTAAGGACTTTAGATTATAGCTCATATATTGTCGCGGGGATTGGGTGAACCGTAGTGACCGTGGTGCACTGCAGAGCCACATTTTGAGAATGAGCGCCGTCCCTCTTGAGTAGGATTTTGTTTGGGGATACTATGGTACCAATATAGAGTAAGATTATATCCTCCTTTTGGGTATAGTATTTTCTACAAGGAATATAATCTTACTAGGTTCAACCACCCCAAAAACAATTACTTAATATAACCCCAATCTAACCCCAATATCTACCCTATCATAATATGGTAGTTTCCATTTTCTTTTCCATTATCCCTATATAACCCCAATATTACTAGGTTCAACCACCAAAAAAACACTAAACCCTAAACCCCTAAGCCCTAAACCCCTAAACCACGGGTTCAACCACCAAAAAAGAACGCTACTCTCTTGAGCCGCTTTGCGACGAGAAATCCCTACGAGTCCGAAACCTTCAACCCTCAGCCCGTGCAGCCGTGCTAAAGTGGACAACTTTAGGGATCCTTAGGGTTTAGGGTTTAGGGTTTAGGGATATAGACCCCCAATATACTATAGTCCTCATTCTAGGGACCTCTAAAAGGGTATCCCCAATTTTTGGAAACCCCCTTTTCTGTTCGGCCATGCCAGCGGATTCCATAAATCGTGGGTTTTGGGTTTAGGGTTGAAGGTTTAGGGCTTAGGGTTTTGGGCCTAGGATTTTGGGGATTTAGGGTTTGTATTGAGTACGTGCATTCGTGGTGCAGAACTAGTTTGGACAAGCCTCGTGTGGCTGCTGCTTCTCACCAAGGACTTGAAACTGGTGTAATGTGCATGCTTCTTAGAAGAAGGGCAATGGCCATAACAGTTTCGGTGACTCTTTTAGCTAACCTTTGTGCGGAAAGGTAGTTATATAATGACTAGCAATCTCGGACAACAGGAGGAGATTGCTGCAGACAGCAAGTTTTGTGAGAACAGGAGAGCACAGAGGAGCAATTCATTTTATCGTTCCCCCACGCTTCTTCTGGAGCTTTACTGCAATCCACTCCTCAAGCCCCATTCCAGTCATGTTGGCAGCTACTGTAATGTACTTGAGCTTGTACTTTAGGTTTGGGCCTTCCAACAACAAAGGAAGGAGACTGTTGAGGATCATGTTGTACCGGTTCCGCAGCACAGCCTCGTTGTTGACTCAGGGCCAGGGCCTGTTTGGCCCTTCTGGATCCAAAATCTACACCCTTGACCAATTTCCGCGTGAACGTTGCACGCAGAGACAAAATTCTGCAAAAAATCCTAAACCTCAAACCCTAAACCCCAAACCCCTAAACTCTAAACCCCCCATGACTGCGAGCAGCCCAGTCCCCTACGCTGGTCCTGTCCGACATCGTGGTGGACTCTAACCATCCCTTCCTTCCATTGCCCGAAACCGAGACTTCTTGGAACGTCCTCCCGGTTTAGAGTTCAGGGGTATCATAGGGTTTAGGGGGATCATAGGGTTGAGGGTTTAGGGGTATCGCAGGGTTTAGGTTTCAGTTCACAGGGTTTACGGGTATCATAGGGTTTAGGATTTAGGGTTTGGGGTTTGCGCTACGCTTCATTTGCGGACCGCGTAACATGGTTTATGTTCTTGCGGCTGCGACGTTTTGCTTTGACATGCTTGTTTGGCACCTTCGCCGACCTTCATGAATGACGAAGCAGCTTTCAGCCCGTCAGGGCGACTCAACAAGCAGGTTAATGGGGATATCGGGGTTGCTATATAGGAAGCCCGAAGCCCTAAACCCTGGTAATGGGGATACTATATGAGCTATAGTCTAAACTCCCAGTATAACCCCTGATAGTCCCTGTAGTAGTCCCCAATATAATCCCCCATATGACCCCCTTTAAGGAGTTTAGACTACAGCTCATATGGATTCTACGGGTTATTAACCTACTTACTAAGTCCCCCTGACCCTCAAAGTGTTGCATTAGCTTACTGGGGGTCTAGTAGGGAATGAGGGGAAAATGACGGGTGTATATATATGTATATATATATATACACATAGGTTTTAGGGCTTAGGGTTTAGGGTTTAGTGTTTAGTGTAGTAGGGAAAAATGGAATATGTAACATAGGGATTATGTAGGGATTATATTCCCTTATTCCCTACTAAACACCAAGAAGTTAGCCATGGAAGGACTCGATGCCCGCGGCTTACACCATGCAAGAGTGTTGACACAGGCAGGCAGCGGGCTCGGATCCTGCAAACATGTAGCTGACAATCTACACTACGGCAGCATGCACAATGCCAAGCAACATCTATCATAGTTTCCGGGTTTGGGCCTACTGTGTGAGCGCATTTCAGATAAAACTCAGAAATCACATTTGCAGTTGCCGTAGAAGCTCGCATACACCTCGGAACCGCTGTCGGCAACGGGCCGCGATGCCGCGAGTGCCTGACAAGAATCCGGTTCTGCAAGAGATTCGCAAGGCCTGCAACCCAAAGTGCATGGTCCTTGTCGCATATGCATGTAGAAGTTCAACATGGCCATCTCAACACGAACAAGATCAAAACCATCAGGATTACCAAAACCTTAAGCCCTAAACCCTAAACCCTAGACTGTAAACCCTGAACCCTAAACCGTGAACCCTAAACCCTAAACCCTGAAACCCAATATTTTTCCTTTATTCCCTCCACCACGGCCCAGCTTTTAGAAAGGCTCAGGCCGCCGGCTACCAGCAGGCCCTAAAGGACTGCTCCTCCACTTGCTGAGAATCAGTAGCCCAGACCTATTTAGGGTTTAGGGTCGAGGGTTTGGGGTTTAGGGTTGTTCCGATTCCCGTTTGGTAACCTAGACCCCTGATTAATGAACCCTCTCCCCTTAATAGGGATCAAAAGAGAGATCCTAATTTTGAGGCCATTAAACGGCGACATTAGGGAAGCTGGGGAGAGAGCATATAGTGTTTAGGGTTTAGGGTTACTAGGGAATGAGGGAATATATATATATACACACATATTTATAGGGTTTAGGGCTTAGGGGTTGGCTTTAGGGGTTACGGTCAGTAGGGAATGAGGTGCTATATGACATAGGGGCTCTGTAGGGATTATATTCCTTCATTCCCTACGAACCACCAGTAAGTTCAGGCTTCGGATTGGGTTGCGGTGAGTGGAATTTGGGTTGCGGTGAGTGGACAGGAGGGGCTGCATGAGCGAGAAAACCGAAAGCGTGAGAATCGCAGAATTGTACGCGAGCTTTATCAACAGGTCTGGAGCCTCATTCCTGCATTCTTACGCCTGCAAAGCTCTGGATGATGTGACACATTTGGAGGTGTTAGTCTTGTCTTGCCTTAAAATTCTGCGCAGAAGAAGAGCAGTTGCAGGAAATCCGCAGCGGGCGGAAGACGAGCCACTGGATTTGGTACATCTGGCCCAGCACTTTGGTTGCTCTTCAAGAGCTTCATGCAATCCCAAGCTATCACTTGTAAATGGAGAACCAAACGGAAGAACATGGAAGCATCATGGAATAGGGTGTCGGGTGCCAGCGTTTAGGGTTCAAAGGTTTGATGGCATAGGGGACTGCGCATGAAGCCATCAGTCGTAACCCAGGCTTAGACGAAGTGCGGAAGACCTCCCGGCCGCAGTACTCTTTGCGAAGCCGTGGGGATGCGGACGCCTTTTTGTCAGATCCTGGGCTTCGGAAGAACCTCTATGAGATAAGTGAGGTGGGTATGTCTTTAAATCAGGGGCCTCTTCTGTGCGCATGTGTGTTTCTACAAGTTTGGGTTTAGAGTTTAATTTAGGGTTCAGGGTCAGGGCTTTACATACCTGCCCATATAGGGCTCCAGAAGCAGAACCAGAATCTTCAAGAACCCCCAGGTGGCCTTGTCTCACCTCCTCAAGGGAACTGCGCCCGGGATCCTCTTTGGATCCCGGACTGACGTGGAGAAGTTTGGGGAGACGGTGACCTGCTTTGCCCTGGTGGCGCTGGAGGCCCGCGACCTTGAACTCTCAGAGCTGATGGTGTCCTGCCTGGAAGCCCTGGGAGGAGATCTCCACGCAGAGACGGTGAAGTATCTGCTGTCCCATGCCGAGGGTCTGACAAGCCTGGCTCCTTCTGGCTCTACCACACTGGACCTGCGCTGTTTGCGGGATGCACTCGCCCGGCTCAAGGAAGAGAAGCAGGCGGAATTGCTCCCCTCCGGTTCGTGCGACTCAGCTCCGGTCCTGCGGCCTGAAACTGCTGAAGCTGCGGAGGCAGCAAAGTCCGTGCCTGAAGAGGTCGCAGCGTCAGATGGCGCTTAGCTGCGTAGCTGCTTTTGCATGCCAGCAAGAGCACCGTATTTGTGGCAACTTGGCTTGGCGTTCTGTACAGCCATGGTGGGGTAAAGCCTCATGCCAGCAGGAGACGCGAGTGAATGTGAGATGCCTGCTGTACAGCTGAAATGGCTACGCAGTGTGACGAACATTGAATTCGACAGGGGTAGGTTAGAACGTTTGAAAGCCATTTTCAGTTTGTACTACCCTTAATACCTACATACTCTCTTGTAAAGCCATCAAACAGTTTTTCCAGGGCCCTCAAACTTGCCCTGGTTGAGATGTGGTGTGTGAGACATTATCACCAGCCCAGGGTTTGGGGTTTAGGCTTTTGGGGTCTAGGCTTTAGGGAAACGTTGAAGCTCTGGAATCCAAAGCCAATTCGAGGTTTAGGAGTGGGGACATTGTCGCAAGACTAGTTCAAGTATCACATAGTCCACCGCAACAGGGTCACAATCCAGAGAAGAATCAAGCAACACCTCTTTCATGTGTTTGAGACATTGCAACAGCCTTGAAACTGGGCAACCCTTCTTTGGAGTCCCCATAAAGAGAGGGACCTCTACACGTCCCCGCTACATTCCTATATAACTTCCCCCTCCCCCAACCCTAAACCTTAAAGGGGGCCCCAAGGTCACCCCTGTTTTGAGAAGCACCCCCTTGTGGCCTGACAGGCCTGGTCTCGTTGGAGCTGGTCAGACGGCAAAGGAGACGCTAAAGGGTGGGCAGGCGCTTGTGGGACCATGGGAAGTTTGGAGTTCAGGGTTCAGGGTTCAGGGTGTTGCGAGCTCGAGATCTAGGATTTTAAGTTTAGGGTGTTTCTCGCCTTTTGATTTGGAGAAGGACTTCAAATGTTCATCTTCCGCTTTGCTACGACTGCGAAGCATCATCGGCAGCCAGCAGAAACGGAGCATGAGGAGCAGTTGCTGTTGTAGTTGTATGACTACAAGAACTGCTGCTGCTGCTGCTGCTGCGGCTGCTGCTCTTGTAGTCCTCTTCTTCCTCGAAGATGGACTGTATGTCAGGCAAAACCGTTTCCTTTTTTCTTTTCGTTCTTGGCTGTTTCAGCCTGAATCAAGGCCTACTGTGCTTTGTGCCTGGATCTCATTTTGAAGGATTGCTACCCGGACCAGCGCTTGGGTAGCACTTGGGAAGGGTTTCCATTTCATTTTCCACTTTTCCATTTGATTCTCCATCATGACTGTTTTATGATTACTACCGTTATTCTTACATTTTTTGCTCCTAGCATTAGTATACTAGTCTAGTATCTATTCTTGCCACTGTTGTATTTATTCTTAGTGATCTCAATTTCATTTTTATCGCTAACGTTATTATTATTATTATCATTATTATTATTGAGTGTCTTGTCACGCCAGCGCCCTGTGCAGGCAGCCAAAGACGGGAAAGGCTTGGAGCCCAGGGTCTTGGGATGCTTGCGTAGTGCCAGGGTTTAGAGTTTAGGTTTTAGGCCTTAGGGTTTAGGGTTCTGGGTTTAGAGTTTAGGTTTTAGGCCTTAGGGTTTAGGGTTTAGGGTTTAGAGTTTAGGTGTTAGACCTTAGGTTTTAGGGTTTAAGGCCAAGTGGCAATAGCGCTGCCCATGCAACTTCGAGTGACATTGGCAGCGAAAGATGCGAAATCGCAACCAGACCTGTGCACATTTCATTATGTAGATATATAGATAGCCTCCCGGTAGCCGAGGCTTCTGCATTCAGTCACAGTTGCCAGTCTACAGTGTCCGAGGCAGACTTTGGTCTATAAGATTCTCCGTGTTTTTTGGCCTTTTTCTCAACGCAAGCAGCAGATTGTGTAATGAAACGCATCCCAAAATCCCAAACCCAAACCATGTATTGCCTGGCCGTTTGCACAGTTATCAGGCAGTTCTTCAAAGTAGCATCCGTAGGGACAAAACATTTTCCCCAACTTTCTCGAAACTATCTGCTGGCTGGTTCTGTAACAGCTTCATGTTGCCAATGCATAGCTTCGAGCCAATGTCACAATTTCGGTGCATGTGGATACAGATTTCCCAAAACCCAAACCACTGAATGTTGAACCGCGAACACTTGGCCATTACCGAAACCTTACCCCCAAACTGTAATGCATCGAGCCCAAACTGGCCCTGAACCCTGCACCCCCGGCATTCCAGACGACCACCTTAAACCCCCAAAACCCTAAACCCTAAACCCAGACCCAAAGAAAGATGTGGTGGGTGAGGCTTCTTTGGAAAGCAGGATGCTGCCAAGCGCGTGGATCTCAGACCGCTAGGCTGTGTCGAAAGCCTTTCCACTCTTCCGGTGCAGCTTAAGGGTTTAGGATCTAGGGTCTAGGGTTTAGGGTTTAGGGTTTAATGTTTAGGGTTATTATGAGATGATGGAAAAGAACATGGAAACTACTATTTCGGGTTTAGGGTTTAATGCTTAGGGT